CTCTGGCAACACTCACAAGCTTTTCCAGCTCATTCGGTCCATTGGCCTCAGGAAGCCTGGTGTGTGAGGTCATTTGCGAGGTGGATGAGTCTCCGATCACCAACCAACAGGCGTATGGACCGCTGGGCCGAGCACTTTTACTCGCAGTTCAACTAGCCTCCACCACCCATCAGTACGTGCAGTACACGTTGTTGTCCACTCTGGATCGTCCCACTGAATCCACCCAGCGAAGCGGAAGTATGTCTCGAGATTCGACGCTTTAAGCGCTTCAAGACTGCCGGCTCAGACGGACTTCCTCCGGAGCTGTTCAAGTACGGCGGTGTGGTGATCATTAACCAGCTGACCGCGCTGTTCGCAAAAGTCCGGCATAAAGAGACAGTGCCTTCCTCTTGTGGTGAATCAGTTATTGTCCCGATTTTCAAGAAAAGCGCTCGCATTTTCTGTCAATCATCGCGGGATCAGTCTTATTTCGGTTGCCTCCAAGCTATTGGCATCCATATTGCTTCGCAGACTATTCCCAGTACGTGAATCATATTACCGTGAAGAACAAGCTGGTTTCCGTCCCGACCGCGGATGTGTGGATCAAATCTACACGCCCCGCCACATTTATCACAGGCCCACTATCATTGCATTCCTAGACATATGTGCCGCTTTTGACTCCGTTGATCGACCTGCTTTATGACGTTGCTTGCTGAAGAACGGGGTGCCAGAGAAATACACCGCCATCTTACGAGCACTTTGCCTTCATACATCCGGCAGCGTGAGGGTCCATGGCAAGCTTTCCTCGCAATTCGCTGTCGATGGTGGTGTGCGACAGGGTTGCCCTATGTCCCCATTCCTCTTCAACTTCGCAATCGAAGACGTCGAATGCTCTAGGTTTCCAACATTTTGGCCTAGAGCTTCTATCGGGTGAGCGCGCGACCGACTTAGATTATACTGATGATGATGACGATCCTCAGGGTTTGCAACTCATTCTGGATCGTTTGGCGGTTGAAGCATCTAAGTATAGCAAGAGTTGTACACCATCGAAGTGTAAAGTACTGCTCAAGGATTGGCTTTCACTTGCTAACGTGCTCACTCTCGAAGGTGCACAACTTGAACAGGTAGATAGTTTCGTCTACCTTGGGAGCTGTGTTTCTGCTGACGGCACTATCAACAAGGAAGTTTCTCTCCGTATCGCTATAGCTCGATCAGCATTTGTCAATCTGAAGCACTTGTAGCGTCGTCGCGACGTCTCATTCTCACTAAAGGGCCGCGTTTACAGCGTATCAGTTCGCTTAGTATTGCTGTATGGGAGCGAGTCCTGGCCGATTCGCGTGGAAGACATGCGTCGTCTTTCTGCCTTCGATAACGGTTGCTTAAAGAGGATCGCTCGTGTTTGGTGGCAACACCGAGTTAATAGCAATGACGTTCGACGTCGCATCTTGGGAAATGCGAGTATTCCCTTCAACAAACTGGTTTTGTTGCGCCAGTTGAGATGGCTCGGTCACATCCTACGCATGGAACCTGCGCGTCTACCGAGTCGCGCTGTATTCGCTCGTCAAGGACCTGGCTGAAGGCGACCGCGTGGTGGTCAGCCTTCTACATGGCGGCAGCACATGAAATCGCTGACGTCGTGTCTAGCTGCTGTTGGATCCGTACATCTTCCAGAATGGGGACCCAAAGATGAGGAGTGTCAATGGCTTAACACTCTTGAAGACATGGCCCGCAACCGGAATCAGTGGAAGAATTGTGTACAGTATTATAGTTATTCACATGTTTAATGTTTCAAACATTGAAAATGACAAAAAAGAGAAAAATCGGTGTGTGAAAAACAACCTAAAAATGTTTTGTTCTACTTTTTGTCAAAATGTTCTTTTCTTCCTGCGGCATATTAGCTGAAGTGTGTTACTCACCTTCAACTACTATGCCACGATGATTATGACGCGATGACTCTCCCTTATCCGCTGATCTCCATGGTTTTTTTGTTGGCTCTGTGTCTATTTGCTAGACTGCTGAGGTTACATACATACTTGTTGATGACGCTATATCAGCACCAGTGGAATAGAGGTTGGGATCACAAACCGTATAGCAAAAGCTTGAGGCGCTTTTGCAAGTCTCCGCTACTTGTAGCGCCAGTGTGACAGTACTGTCATTCTGAAGATTGGAGTTTGCAATGTAATCCGTCTGTTTAACCCTCCTATACGGTTGCTAAACCTGGTCACTAAGATCGACCGACCTAAAGGGGATTCTTACGTTCAAAAATCGCTGTCTTCGCAGTTTAGCTCATTACTGGTGCGAAAACCGTGTGAGTAATGAGCGTGTTCGACCTCACCTTTTTGGTGTATGATGAGCGAGTGAACCTCCCATCACCATTATTTCACGTACCAGGCTCCGGTGGTTGAGCCATGTGTTGCACATGTCGCTACCGACTTCCGTGATGTACTTTGTTTGGAAGAGGAGGCCAAGCGATGACCTTTTGCGTGCCTTCATTTCTCATGCAGAATGAAGGCCCTCACTTCGAAGTTGGTCTCGGTTGGTGTCCGAAAAATGATGTATACGTCTATTTGTATATACTTGTTGACCTAACGGAAAATCTACCCTAATGGCATTTGTTTTGTGAGTTTCTTCACTGCACCTCATCCCGCTTAGCCTTCCTCTTCAGCCAGGATCTCGTCATTAATGTGTACTGCAAAGTATTGAGGCATTTTTCTTTTTCTTTTGTTGTTTCTCCATTCTTCTTCTAATTCGCTTGTGTGGCGGGTGTTTCCAACCTATAGTGAAAGTGTAGAATAAATTATGGTAATGATGACTCTCAAAGAAGCAGTTGTCGAAGCGACAGGAGGAAACGATGTCCCTGCTCACGAAATTGTGTGTTATTAGATCTTCTGACTGGACTCCTTGAGACTCATTCTGTGCTCGGCTTGGAACTTAATAGTTCATTGCTGTTTACCGACATATGTGGCATTTTGCTGTTGTTTCATAATCGAATCGCCCTTTTAAGTTGCATATCGTGCTATTTTGTCCTTTGAGCGAGAGTAATCGTGACGCATAGCTGTGTTAGCCGCAAACAACTCTTCCCGCCCTTATTGGCTTATCTTCTTTCGATCACTAGCCGTTTTTTAACTGGTGTTGGCCGGTTGTAAACTGGATGCTTGCCTGGGGTATTTAGATCTTACAACTAATCCATCTCACTCATTTTTGAAGTAGTCATATCTGTCTGGTTGCGCTGCATCAGTCCAGTTACTTTGTGCCACTAATGATGGTGGCAATGATGGACAAAACTCTTTTTCCAAAGTTACCACTGACCTTTCTGGTATGAACGCACCTAAAGGTAATCAGACATTGCTAGTGCCTCTAGTTCTGGTAAGCCAAAGTGGTATGCAAATCATTGCATCACCATAACGCTCAGTTTCATTGCGATGTCTAAAAATTCGATACTGTGTGCATCGAGTCTGGTTTCAGGCTTGGTCAGCTGGACTTCTACTCATGTTGTAATGCCGTCCTGTGGCGCTGTCAAGGTGATGGGTTTTTTTACAGCGTTCTGTTCAATCTGATTTACACTGGGGGAATGGAACATGGACTACGCACCGCTCGAATGTGCATAACAACTGTGTTTGCATGCCTACTGAATAGAAGCGCGCTCTTCACATTTTGCCATCACAACTGAAACGGCCCAACATCGGCCAAATGTGCTTGTCAGCGCTGGGATCAAACTGATTCCTCTTAAGCACTTGGGAGTAGTTTCTTTCTTTCTGTTGTTCATTCGCTGGACTCGCTTTCATTGGTTTGTCATCGTGGGCTACTTTAATCGAGTTGTCTTTGTTTGACCGAAGGGTCGCTTTAAATATGCTAACTGCAATAGTTGGCCATCTCAGTATGCCAACTGTCCTTACAACGGAAATTTCCTGTCCAGCGGTATACAAGTAGAGATTAGCTTTTAAGATGAGGGGATCTTGAGAGGATGGAGGTAATTTCAGATTCAGTTAACTTTCTTATACTTTCGAGCAGTTTTTTCCAGAGGTTATTCCATAAGCAAATACTCATTCACATCGGCCTATACTCAGTTGTCCTGTCAGTGAATCGCATCCCTCAGTTGGTCTCATTTGAGTGTGTGTACACAGCGGCAGTTGCGGGGCATTTGCTTTGTCTTGTCTCGTCGGTTAACTCCGCAGCCTTATAGCAACTTATTCATCCGGTTCTACTTATGTGCACTAGAATCGCGCTCACACTGGGTTAAATTGGATTCGAAGAAGCAGTATTTCGATGCACATCGTTTTCGGACTTGTGCCAACGTATAATTGCACTGTCGAGGTATTTCTTTATGATGCATGCCCAACTACATGTTCCGCATACAATTGTCATCGATCGAGTCGGTCGATGCTGCGTTCTCCTGGACTTCCGATTTTAGCTTATCTTTTTGTAGGGCATGTGTGTATCAGCATGAACCGAGCGCGTCCAAATTGCATTTCTTTCTTCAGATATTTATAACAAACTCATGTTTGTCGACGACTCCTTCGTAGCAGTCTAAATATCATGTGCTGAAAATAGAGCTTTCCAAACGATATCACTACAATTCTAATTCAGAAATTTGACTTTATCGCAACCTCTGATATCTTCTGATCATTTGCACCCTTATCCACTCTTACCGATGCGTCAGATAGTTTACCGTCGATCGTCCTTTCCATTAGAGCGTGCGTCTTACATTTCTTGCTTTTTGCTCCTATCTTACTGTCTGCTTCTGGGTTGCTCTTTCCCGTACCACAAATACTTGAGTTCTCCAAGATACTACTTATTCCTTAGTCGCATGCTCTAACCCACTAAAGTGACGGGCCAACCACTTTCTGCCCCAGCCATTTTGTACCGAGGCGGCGTCTCATCTCTAGGCAGTATTTATGGAATGTGCTCCACCCAGTGCTATTCAGTTGGCCATATATTTACACTTTCATCCGCATTGTTTCCGTCCACTCTCGTTTCACTTCATTTGAATGTTACCTTACATCGAGTTCGCTCACTTTCAGATTGTAGACGGGGTAGTTCAGAGCATCAAGTTAATCACCGAACAAGCCAGCCAACGAGTCGCCAGCTTTGCATTCAAGTACGCTCGCGAAAATGGTCGACGTACTGTGACCGCAGTGCACAAAGCCAACATCATGTGAGCGCTTGCCTCCTGTCTCCCATCCGCATCGATTTTGTGCCGATGTTAGATACTACTGATTAACAGTAATTTGCACTCGTGGATTGTGTTTGGCACCATATTTACAGACGTATCCCGATTTTCATTCCTCTAATGTGTGCTCAGTTGAGTTCCTTGTCTTTCAGCTGCCATCTTTTTCAATAGCTGATGTGATTGGTGAATATCTGTGAAATCAATCCACACAGCCACCGACTAACACGAGCAAAAGCCGTGTGTGTGCAGCCGCCTCGACTGATCCTCGATGTCGTTAGCTGCTGAATGTCCCTTTTACGACTGTCATCATTGCGAACGCCTGTTCAGCTTAATTTCTAGGTGTTATCCCTGGTCTTCATTTGCATTCATCGGTTCCTTGAAAGTGGCAGACTAACTTAATTGTCACCGTTTAATTGTCAGCTAATCTCTCATATATATGGCTTGATTAACTGCCACGAAGGAGCATCAACAGGCGTCAGGAGCAATCCGAATTGAACGTACTATGCCGCTGCTCGCCCAATAGTTTCCCGTGCATTTTGTAAGTCTGATTTCATTTGCACTATATGCGCATGTACATGCATATTACTAACCACAGTTCGTATATTGGCAGCACCGCTTCATAGTACAAGTGTTCACATCAAGTCACCTACCACCCCCGAATGGCTTACTGAAGTAGACCGAAGTTGCCATCAGCGTGCTGATTTGTTATTCTAGAGAACCCCCCGATTACACCTCTCAAACGCGCGCTCTAATTGCACTTATTCTGTCTGCGCCAACGAAGCACCGGACTTCACGATCGTATTCACCTCGCATGAACTCAGTTAACCGGATATCACTACCAGGTCCAATTTAAGCAGACGAGATGAATGTGCTGAGCGCAGGTTGGAATCACCTCCGGAGTGCGGTTGATACCATCTTGGTGGTCTCTTCCGTGCTCAGCTTAGATGCTCCGATTTAGGACTAGACCTCTGAAAGCTCGATTTATTTGGCGCAGCCCTCTGAATAGGCGATTGACTAAACTTTTTGCTTAGGAACATTGGCGAACGTCAAATGGCGATGAACTGCTAAAACTCGGATCAAGCCTACTACCGTTTCAACAGTTGAAGCACTAGCCTCAGGACCAGTCTAGTTGATTTGAGCAACTGCCGAGAAAAATAAACATTTAATCCATTCTGTTTCCCTAAATCGGACACTATGTACTGTTCATTGTAACTCCCTACCTTAATTCTCTCCGTCGCCTCCCTGTGGAAAGAATCCCCGAGGAGGAAAGAGAAGGCAGGTTACCGCCTAGGACGGAGCCGTATAGACTATATGTTCGCTCTGCGGCAGGCGATAAAACAGCGTCACGCGTACCACAGACCGATGAGATTGCGTTAGATTCAGTCGATCGCCCCATCCTCTTCGACATAACTATTCAGAAGGTTGCTGCCATAAGGTATGTGAACATTCTTCATGCCCAGTACTCGAACATCACGAGTCGCGTCAGAGTCTATAGTGAGTTGTCGGACGCTTTTCCGACAACAGCTGGCGTACCTCAGAATTCCTCCATCCCAACTTTATCGTAAATTCGATCATCGGGTGTTCCCTTGCAGAATCTCACAATATGGGCATCGCACTGTTGCCTGGTGGTAATTGGTTCACGTAGACTACATGGACAATATACTCTTGCTGTTTGACAGTCGCGAGGCGGCTCAGTCAACCTTGGATAGACTCTCAAGTGATTCCGTCATTTTGTATGGGCCCCCTTCAAAATGCAAAGTCTTGTTGCAGTTTCATCAACCACTTCATAAACTTTTGACTCTAGACGAGGATGAACTTGAACAAATTGACCAGACATCTGTCTTGGCACCGATATAAGCAGCTGTAGACGTTTGGCTGCTGACATTGCTTTACATATTGCGAACGGTATGATCACATTCTTGCTGGAGTCACAAGAAATGCGACATCTGTGGCGTCATAAGGGGTTTCCCTCAGTCTGAAAGACGGTATCTACAAGGCCGCAATGAGGATTGTCCCATTACACTGAACTGAGACGGTTCCCTCGGTCCGAGGCGCATTGAAATCTTTTATCGTCGTTGTTTTCGAAGCATTTCTGACGTCAAACGGCACTAGCGTATCCGCAACAATGGTGTGCGTGGTCGAGTATTAGGCAGTGATAATCATAGCGTTTTCCTATAACAAAAATGACATTGAATAAGTTGTGTTGCCTTATGCACATACTACATATGCCAGGTCCCCGCTTAATGATGAAGGTCTTGTTTTGTTTGCCCGATGGAGGATGGCGCAATGTTCAAAGTGCATGAAGGTCGATTTGGCAGCGAAGAATGAAAACACTGACTACTAAACTGAATGGTGATGGTCCATCTCGCTTTCCAGGCTGGAGTCCACTTGACCCGGCTTGTGCGTGGCTCGCGACGTTACAGCACATGGCTCGCAGTCGACACCAGTTGTGCGTCTGCTGTAGTCTCCTAATCAGACTGCCTGTTTAAATTGTGTCTGATGCTGAGTCATCTGTTAGGTAATAACTGATTGTGATGCGGGGCAATGAAGGTCGGAAAGAAGCTATCTTACTGACACGATAGCCAACTGTTTGTGCCGGTATGCAGCTGACCCTTGAGTGTTTGACCCTGAGTGTTTGCTCAGGGTATTTAGGCTTTGCACTTAGGTCCCCTTTCCCTCCATTTTATTATTCTTCACTCTGTAGGTCATTGTAGTTTTACAGCAATGATGCATTAGTTCAAATGCCTTCGTACCGCTTGTTTTGCTGCTGTTGTTGTTGTTGTCCCTATCGTTGGCTGTGTTGTTTAAGCCTTCATGACCATATGCACTGACTTGAATTGGAGTTGCTGAAGTTTGGCAAGACGGTGTTTCCAACTACTTTCATTCATCTTTACTGAAAAGAAGTTGATTTCTCCTCAATTGTTTGCTCGTTCGTTATTTTCTGCTCCAAATGGTGTATCTTGACAGTCAGTTCAGATGCGCAGCTGTCTACTTTCATCCCAATCTTCAGGATGTGCCACTAGAAGTTGGGTACAAATAATCGTGACATTTATCGTATTGCAATTACTGTCAAGTTATGTAAATGCATCATTACGCAGTGGCTTGCTGGACCTCGGGAAGCGGAATCAGCCAAAACCGGATTCGCTTGTACCAAGGCAACCCCATACATACAATCTGTCCACACTGGTTTTCTTCCTAGGTTTGGAGATGAATATTCGTTCCACTGGTTCGTACTGGTTTGTCTCATTGTGGGGTGTGCCGGCGAAATGTTTTATTATTGTTTCTCTGCACCGTAACTCCCAGCGCTGTGCAATTATCTGTGGGGACATCTCCCCTGGGTTCTGTCATTTACGCGAATGACTTCGATTCGTTTACTTCAGCTGTGCGCGGATTGGTTATCACACACAACAGCCAGCCAATCATCAGACACATACCCCCGGTCTCGCAACGCGAGTTCCGTGAGTCCTGGACCTTCCTTAATTGATTGATAAACCTGCTGCTGTCCAGACTTGTTCTCCATCCTGGAATTACATGTCTCGAAATGTGCGTTACATGCTTAACGGTACTACGTTTTAGTGGCGACGAAAATGACGAACCCAATGTTGAATACACCTGGTCATCTGCTGAGGAAAAACCGACTTTATCGGACTGGATAAGATGGAGGAAATCATTTACTAACTACGTGGAATTACTTCCTATACTGAATCCGACCGTTTGCCTTTCTGAGTCTCATAAAATCACTATTCAGGCAAGTGCTTGGCGATGGAGGTCAACGGCAATACGGTGCCCTGCAGTTGGAATACTATGCTACCCACAGTTCTACTTTGGATGCTTATACCACGTTATGGGGCTGAAACAAAATGTTTACACCGCTAGATACTTATCCAGAAGTCGAACGAAAGTGTCAATGATTCTATTACACATATTCATCAATATATTCTTGAGTGTAAGTATTGTGATAATCCACCTGTCGAAATTAAAGAGCAAATGAAAATTCAATGTTTAACTGCGGGAAAGTCGGACGAAAGTGCTAGAGAGAAGTTGTTGTCCTTGGATGAGTCGGCCGCCACGTTGGAAAAAGTTTGTCTGATTGTTCGCTAGCGTGATAATATTGCACACCAATTACGCTAGTTCATTAGTCGTCCCGTAGTTGATTATGTGCACTCGTTCCGCAAATCAGACACCAGTGAACATGGAAAACAATTCGTGTGTTATTGTTGCGGTTTGTGGCACTCTGACGCTTCCGATTGCCGGCACACGGAAAGCATCTGTCGGAAATGCGACAAGATAGGCCATCTAGCTCGCGTGTGTAGAGCGGAAAGTTCCCGCTCAACCAACATCGCCTCTTGGACTCGTCCAAACAAGCTAAAGCTACGTGAAGATAAGATTCTAGAAAAGTTGGACAGTGAACTTAACTCAGCGTACTTGAACAGTGTGATACGCAAAAACTGTCCTCCGTGCACAATACATTTGACGATAGCGGATAAACCGATAGGTGCTAGATACTGAGGCGGTGATTACCATTGTAAACCGCACTTCAATGAAAAACTACCACCTTTGCCACCGTGCAACTCCAGAGTACAGACGTACACCGGTTTCCCAGTCCAGATGTTGGGTAGATGTTTCGTTATAGCCAGGCGCGGGGACCGAGGATTCACCTTGCCCTCAATTCTTGTACCTGGCAACAAATCGTATCTCATGAGTCGAGACTGGATACAGTTCTTTCCCGAGACCATGTAACGCAACCAACTCATTGTTGAAGACGGTTGATGGATTATTGAACCCGTTCTCATCGTTGTTTGAAAACAATGGGAAAATTCGTCATTTCAAGCTTACTATCAAACTTCGAGAGAGCGCTGAGAATAGAGTTTACAAGGCCAAATGATTAACTTATGCAATGTACCCTAAAGTTGAGGCAGAAATACAGTGTCTGCAATCAGAAGGAGTTATAGTTCCGGTGCAACACTCAGATTGAGGCACTCCGATTGTACCTGTACTCCAACCTGTCGGATCCGTCCGTGTTTGCGGAGACTAAAAATTTACAGTCAACCAAGCATCGAAAGTGGAAACATATTCCCTACCACGTATTAAAGACTTATACGCGAATTTAGCCGGCGGCCAAAAGTCTTCCATAATGGGTCTCAGTCACGCATACTTTCATGCGAGCAACAAACGGTTATCCCACTTGGTAATTTAGAAGCTGTTTCAGTACATTTTTGAGCAAGGCTAACTAGGATTCCCTATGTGCCAAGCTCCACCCAATCACTGAGGACGTCAAGCTCCATTGGAGCTGAATTTCCATTGTCCCGAATGCTGCGGGAGCTTCTGCTTCTGACACACTGTCAGTACACAGAGAACTAGATTTTTATAAGGTCTGTGGACCTCACCGTGATCTGGTTGCCTCTCATGCGTTGGTTAAAACAGAGGCTACGAGCAGACAGTAAAGCCACGAGGCAAGATCCATGTGTACTTTCAGACAACTCCGCACCAATCGCCACACGAAATCCATCAACGAGGGGATCAGATACGTCGCTTATATCCCAGTTGAAATAGGAAGTGTCATTTACCTCCTTGAGTGGATACCACTCAAGAGCAGCTCATTTGACCCACTTTCCCTGCCCTTTTTCATTCTTGGGTGGTGCAGCTTGAAGCATGTTCGCCTAGTTTATATGCCTCATAGGAAACTGGGGTTCGAAACATGCTTGCAACTTTCAAACGTTTGCAAGCTATCAATCCGAGTTCTCATGAGCCCACGGCTTCTGTGGATGGTGTCCATGTCCTTTCCAGATCATTGATCACCTGTTTAAATGTATGCGTAAGGACGCGATTGTTGCAACCAACTGTGGCGAATCAAGTCAAGTTAACTCTAGAATGTACTTTGCGCGCCCATGATTATACTGGTCGTGTTGTTGGAGCCCATTCACACCATCCATGCTAAGCACAGGATTAACAGGTTACCTCAAATATTGACGGTTACCGGCCTCCTTTCCTGTATGCTCTCCTGCTGTTGAACTGGCATTTCGAGTTAGAAAACAACAGATTCCCGCTTGAAACGGGGCTGCATGGCGCGTTTGCATTTTTTCCCCCAAGTCGAACTCTAGTCACAATGTATCCGTTGCTGTGCTCTCTGCCAGACAAACTTTATTATGACTTTGGACCGTGAACATCTCAAGCAGACCGTTTCACCGATCCGTCTTATCTCCGTTAGCTAGCCAGCCGTTTGTGGCCGTGTGGCGTTGGCAATGTTCAAGCAGTTTAACTCCGAATATTTGCTCAGGGTGTCGAGGTTTTACATCGGGGCTCCTCTTTAGCTCTCTCCTTATTATTTACATTTTTGTGGGTAGGTTGTGACTGTATGATAATGTTGCTTCAGCACAACACACTACTGTTTGTGATGCTGGTGTTTTGTGTGCTCTTGCCGTATCCCGACACGGTTATATGAGATCGGATGTGTGCACAAAGAACACCTTGCTTCATTAGTCCTTGGTATACTGCTTACGTGTTATAAAATAACGATGAAAACAGTCTGTAATTACAGCACTTTGTTCTTGTGCATCGTGTGACTGTATCTGGTCGACCGTGACTTTGAGATTGCATCATTTGAAGATCAAAGGGAAGCTATTTCGTTGTCCTCTGCGCACTACCGTTTTATGTCCATTTAACTAAATCCTACGCAGTTTCGGGTATTGTCTTGATCCCACAGCGGCGCGTTGTATGACCTTCAACAAAATATGCTTCTGATTAGCTTATTGCTTTATGATAGTAACCATCCTGTTAGCTGTGATTGATCGCGCTAAGTCTGCCGTGTTGCGTAGCCAACAGTGCGTTCTTACCGTTTCCCGTGGACAAAGTTGACCCGTGTTAGGGGAAATATATTGTTTCAGAGTCTAAGACATCTCCTTCTGGCGAAATGTTAAATACATGCTGATATTCGATCACGTGAGTCCCTACGCTCTGGTAAGGTGTGATACTTTTGATGCGGTTCCTTGATGGTATCCTGGATTGGTGCATCATTCTAAAGTCTCCACTTATGCAGTGAATTGCCTGAACACAGCAGAAAACTTTAACACTCGAATGCCTCGATGCCTTGCGGAATAGTCGGAGATCTGGCATGAATAGAGCATTGATCAGAGGCTGACATATGCTACACGGTCAACAGGGACCGAAATTCCTTCTGAATGAGTTCGCAGCTTGGATCGATACTTTGCACAAAATAGTATAAGCTTGTCGTTAAATTAGATTACAAATTTTTCCTAACCCCACTGCATATATGATCTCATACAAAACTCACAGCGGATGGGCGTCCTCATTGTTCGCAGCCTTCTGATTTGATTGCTCTATCGGACCTGGGGAATTATGGAATAAAAGCAGATTGCCCCGATGTGCATTTCAATGAGGCAATATCACAAGAGCTGTGAGTGTTGGTCACAGTGGGATGTGTACTTACGGTTCAGACAGCTTTGAAAAGTATGAAATGCGATCAATACATTCCATGTCCGACGAAGGGAGAGGCAGTCCATCGTTCATTGAGGACTTTTATGACGCTTGGGTACGATGCACTCGAGTGGTTCAAAGGTAGCAGTGCTAATTGGACGAAGCCCTAATTGATCACTTGATTATAAGGTCAACTGCGAAGAGAAATGGAGAAACCAACTGAACGGTTGTATTGATCTGATGCACATTACTTTTCTGAATGAGGCTTCAGGATCAGCCATGTCATTACATTGGAGGACACTTTTGACATTACGCAATCCAAGATTAGTGACGCTCACCCTCCATCTCTCTCTACAAAACGTTGCCTCTTTTCTTCCGCTCCGAGTAGTGCTTTTGCATTCAGAACATCTTTCATCTCTGCGATTTTGTGTTGCCATGGCGGCGAGGGCGAAGACCTACCGCCCTTCTAACTGCGAGTCATTGTTGCTTACTCCAATGGGGCTACCATCTTCACAAGGTCTTCGAAAAAGGCTAAAATTTTCGCCACCATCTTGACCAAACGTTTGTTGTATGAAGATCCGCGCGGAAAATTTGGTTCTCATCCTCTTCACGTCAAGTCCAGTTAAGCTTTGTCCACCCAAATAAGTGCATTTTCACACCAACTGCTGCAGAATATAATACAACAAAGCATCAATGAAAAATAAATAACAATTGACAGTAGTGAATGCAAATTTGCACCTTCAATCAAGCCTGTGGTCACGAAAGCGGTGTTTCATTTCTGTTTGGATCGATTAGTAAGCATGCTAGATAGAGCAGGATGGAGTTTCGATACCACGAGGCACGGACATATAGAACTTTAAGTTTTGGTCTTGTGGAGGAAGTAGTTCTAGTGTTGGCTAGGATAGCATCTATAGGGTGATAGCGGTCGTTTAAAATCCTGAATGCAAACTTGATGTACGCATCACAATGCGTGTTCACAATGAAATCTATTTTCGGTGGTTTCCTTAAACCACAGCAGCGAGAAACAAATTTTAGCGAACGGACAAAAAGCAGTCATGGGGAACAATATAACCAGTAAGAGCGAATACATGCAGTTACAAACCTTAGAATTAAAGCACGGGGAACTGAAATCATTTTAAGTCTGAGGGCGTAAAAGGAGAGTCTCCTAACTTTTTTAACTGTTTCAAGAACATGTGTAGACCTAGCTAAATTGTGTGATATTTTACGGCACATGTGCGAGGTATGCTTTGATCATCTACAATCATCGGAAGGGAGATATGTACAAGAGACTGCAGTCTGTTGGGATGTAGAGAACTGAACCTTACGTCATAGCACTTAGATGGGTTAAAAGAGAGAGAGGGACCGTGAAGTGGACCAAGTCACTAGTTCATCTAACCCACGTTGGAATTTCGAAGAGTCCTCAATAATTGAGGTTATCTACTCCAGCACGACATTATCAGCATATTTACGACCTATGAAGTTTGATGGGATAGGGTGACTTTCGTTGTCGGCGGAGAAGTGAAAAGGGGATTGGATGGCTTCCTGTAAAACACCATAATTTGTATAGAGTACAGAAGACTCTCTGCCGCATACCCGCGTGAAGTTTGTGTGGTTTACAGAGCGATCACCCAGCCGTGATGTGTCGTGCCCATGCATCCAACGGATTCTACCCCACTTCTCGTTGTTCGTGCGTTCGAAATACTTTTTCCAACCTTTTAATTTATTCGACACTTCTCATCTCTTCAGGAAAATGTCAGATGGGCTATTTCTGCGCGTGTGTCGAGCAGAAGCGATGAAGAACATAGATATTGGCTTTCGTGAGATGTTCTTGGATACTGTCTGTTTAAATGTAAGTCTTGTTCTGTTGTGTGACCTCACATTTTCTCCTTCAACTCGTTTTTTCTTGACCCACCTCTTCATGAGCATTAGTCATATCCTGTCAATATTATCTTTCAGATGGTCCAGGACCCCACCCAGTTTGATGTCCTTGTTATGCCAAATTTATACGGAGACATCCTGAGCGATCTGGCAGCAGGTTTGATCGGTGGACTTGGGGTTACACCTAGCGGAAACATCGGAGAAACGGGCGCTATCTTTGAATCAGTACGAATTGTTTTATTACCATACCTGTTTTGAGGAAATTCTTGGTTTTGTCCTTGCAATTTATTCAGCACATATTTCCATCATATGTACCGAAAGATCGTTAATCTTTTAGCTCGACGCCATACAATTTCAGGATATGTCAGTTCGCCTTAGAATCCTTTTAATAATCCTCTTCCTCGCTTCACTCGTTTTAACACTCGTGATTACCTTGCTACGTTGCTATTAATACTGCGCTCTATCGATGCACTAGCTCGCCTTAGGGCTTGTGAGCATTGCAACAACAATGGAGCTTGGCCTGATGCGACATTTTGTGTACCATCAAAGCTTTTGAGCCACGCTGTGTCGTAGCTTCCAAGTACCCGTTGCATCAGTCCCATTAGAATTCTTGCAAACTCTGCCTCAACATCCTCATGCTTTATTTGATTCAAAGTCCACAGCTTTTTTACCTTAACAATTTACAACTTATAAACCCATGCCGACTAACTTGTAACCCGAATACCCCGAACGCAGCACCCAATCTTCCAGGCTACCTCTGGCCTGTGCCGAAGCTGGTCCATTATTGATTTCTACAGTCCCGCTACTGTGTCAAGCTATTGGGTCTAAATTTACGGGTGAATGCACTTGAACCTCGTTCTTCTCCTGAAATAGACAATCGGAATTTATTGTATGCACACAAGACTTCGTCACCAGTAGTCTTTTCCTTCCTTAGGCACCCTTCCATACCGGACCTTACAACATCCACGTTCAGTTTTGACTCAGTCGGCAGGCAACTTTGGTCTTCTGTACTCTCTTTTATTTGCCATCCTCTGCTTCTGGAACAGGCGTACAAAACGACAACATCCTAATGCACCTGTGGCTACCGGATCCTGATCTCGCTGTCTGAGCCTACACACTTCGTGCCTTTAGTGCTACCGGATCACTGCTTCGCAGCAATAACTTTTAGTTATTCACAGCAAGAGTGTAGCGGTTGTTTTTCTGGGTATGATCAAATTGGCCGCTGCATGTGACATGTACGGTTGTCAGTCAGAATCGAACCACTTCCTCTGAGTCCACTTTGAAGCGGTAGTTCATCGTGACAAAAGCGGCGACCGTTTTTCCCCATTTGTTCCGACCGCTGCTTCCCACCTACATGTTGCAGTGATTCCTAGTGATGCTTAGTTGAATAATGCCTACGCTTCCGGTCGACAAATCGCACATCTCCCATGGGAGTCGCTCATCACCTATACTCTTGGTTTAAGAAACAGCGGCGCCAATCTAACTTGCAGCGTCGACTTCCAGTGATGAGCGAGTTAAGCGGACTGAAAAACAATATTGGATCAGCACCACATCGATACGCCGTACCGATACTTCGCTTCTGCGCGACCACCACTCGTCTCGTGCGGATTAGAGTTACTGCGACGTCGCCCACCTACGCTCATCTCCAACGACTGGTCTGCCTAAAACACAGGAAGTGGTTCCGCCTGCAGTGTTTGAGTGTGCTTGTAGCTAACACCTGTAAAAGCCGATTGTCTGAGAATCGGGAATGATTTGGTGCTACCGAAAACATTTTAGTATTATTCCAGATCATCTGTCGCACATGTCCGTTAATGGCTTTCTTGAATGAGACCATGCATGATATCGGGCATTGGCCCATAGAATTGCGTTTTAATCCCGAGGTCGCCGGTTCGAATCTGCGTAGGTGTGAGCGACTTCCCGCTTTAACCAGACTTTGTGCGACTGGTAGTGATCGCGCGCAGCAAAGCCTCGGTGCCGTGTATCAGCGTACCGTTGATACCTTTCTTTATTCCTTAAAATGCATGATGAAGATAAACGTTCTTATCTTTGATAGCCCAGACACTTCGAGAGGATATTCTGTGGACTCAAAGTTGTTGGTCGAACTTCCTAGACCGACTTCTCATAGTGAAATAACCATACCATCTGCCTATGCGGAAATAAGCAGCGGACCATGACGGTTTCCTTTTGTTCTCTGATGACCTAGGCTAGTCACTGGTGATTGGACTGTTCGAATGTGCCATTGGCCTGGCGATTGTCAACTTTCGCCCTCCCCTTCAATAAGAGTTAGAGATGTCAGATAAAAATCATTGAGATATCAGTTTCACTACCAATGCGGAAACGTTAGAAGTACTACAGAGGTTTATCTACCTGGGAAGCTGCATTACTGCTGGTGGGGATGTTGGAAACGAGATTTCGATGCATATCTCCAGGGCTCGTCTCGATGAGGCATTTATGGCGCCGCCATGACATCCGTCTCTTCATCCAAGGACGGTTTTATAGTTCCACTGTCTACGCTGTACTGTTGTACGGTGGCGAGACTTGGCCTGCTCGTACCGATGACCTGCGTCGACTGTCTGACTTCGAGAACCGTTACTTGCGGTCCGTCACCTGTGTGTGGTGGCCGACCCACGTAACTAACGCTGAAGTCAGCCAGCGTGTCTTTCGTTGAGACAGCCACTCCCTAGAGGCGCTTGTCTCGCTGCGCCAACTACGATGGCTCGGACACGTACTGCATATTCCCGTTCGGCGTCGTGCCTTGTTCGCGGTTGCTAGACAGGGCTGGAAGAGGCGGTGTGGTGGATAGGCTACAACTTGGAGAAGCAGGATGAATAAGCTGACAAAACAGCTGGCCACTGTTGGGTCCTCTCGACTCCATGGATGGGGTCCAAGGATGCTGAGTGCATTTGGTAGGAAACCTTGGAAGTCCTGGCTCAAAACCGAACTCAGTGACGAGTGTGTATCTCTGCTTGTTGCGGTGATTCCCCTTCCCTCCCCTAATAAAAAGCACAACAACTGCGAGTGAGAAAAAAACTATTTTTCCTTCTTTTACTCTAACCCTGTTTTCCTATTCCGCCATGCTCCCGATGGCCCATATCTGTACACAGATTGTGATATATATATATATATATATATATATATATATCAGTTTCACGCAACTGTACCGGAACTACGCATGTGCATCAAACTGCGGTGGTCCGTGGTCTTTCGGCAAAGCGCTTCTGTTAAAGCCAATATACTCTTCACTGTGTGCTTGAACAACGTCATGCATACAAACAACTTGTCAACTTATTCTTTGTCGGCTTGAAGGCGGTCTTCGAGTCGGTTGACGGTCCATATTTGTCTCATTGTATTACTTTGAAAGGTGTGTAGAAGATACTTCGTTTTGCTTTCGAAACTCTGACATTGGGCATTGTTTTCGAGTCCACCAATATTGTTCCTTAAGCTCTCCACTATGACAACTTTTCCTCAGAACCTTTTATCCATCTTATTTCTGTCCAGTTTTTGTGCTCGGCGTGATAATTGATGATTCTATTCTATCTTCATCCACTTTTTATGGAGTAGTGGTTCTACTAGTAGTCTGACCGTCAAATTCAAACATGACGTATGATGTAGATTCCCTTGAATTTGATTCAGTTGTTGTGGATTCATTACTGAGCACCCGACGTTCTGGCCTCAAAAGTCAAAGTCATCAGCAGCACGCCAGCACGTTGTACCAACGCTTCGCTGTCGCGTGTGGGCTGAGTATACCGCGAGGACGCCTGTCCCTACGGGGATTCGAACCGGTGACCTAAGCATTCCAAGCCAGGCGTGCAATCCTTTCGGCTACCGGCCGACGTATGTATTTTGTTCTCAGTGTACACTTGTTACTGTACTGTGCCAATCCACAACCCTTTCAAACTATCACGAGGCAACCACTCGTAGTAGTGCTCATCTTGAAGTTTCAGCACTGCCTCTGTTGCCCACGCCCCCAAGTTGATTACTTCGCTTATCGTTCTGGTTCGTGTGGCCTCGCGAAGTCAGCAGTGTATCCGATTAAATAGGACCACTGTGCTTGGAAGACCGTAAGAGTTGGATCGTGTTTGACCATTAATGACTTCGAAGTATTGCTCATATGTAGTTTGATTTTTGAATGGTACTTGGTGTTTAGTAGAACTGACACCGTAGTGTTTGTTGAACCCGGGTATCTGTTTAGCATGTCTGCTGGTCGGTTGCCTCAGTGTTTCCTGCTCACCGACACAACATTTATTTTTTCGGTACCATGAAGGGGCCGGTGATTAACATTTCTAACGGGTTGTAGATACATGCTGAAATCTGGAATCGTCATGGTGTGTGTGCTCTTCCTGGATGGTGTCCTCGGGCTCTGACTGATCTCACATAGAAAACTGTTCGGTCACGCCGTTAGGGCACTATTACCTTATATTACTAATTCCTCCATATAGGGATTTATCCTCGTTGAATCCTTCAGGTGCATTTCGGATAAACAGCAGATATCGACCGATAGGATCTCTAGTATTCTGACAACTGGTGCCTGTTGGCCAATCTGTAACAAGGTGCGCGCGTTGTGGCACGCCATCCTTAGCAAGGATCGAGGGCTCTGAAGAGAAACAGATGAACTGAGCTTGTCCGTTTGGTTAAATATGGACTTGTCGAATAAACCGGAGCGTGAGCGGAAACTACATGCCAAACGCCTATTGAAGCAAGGTGGAGAATGATCGAGAATTGGGTGGTTGAAAACAGGGGAATAACAGTGAAGTTGGAAGGAGACGATAAGGTTGAAAAAGCGCACGGGGGAGGATAAGACGGGAAGGTCTGAGCAGCAACACCCTCACTCTTATCCACTCTGCTCGATGCAGCATATAGGATGCGATTGATTGTTCTCTGCGAGGGCCAGTGCGTCAGAAAATTTTTTGAAGGGTGTCATTGTATTGTTTGGACAGGATGCTGTCAATTTGCCCAGGCCTAGACAGGAGAACGATTAGGGTTCTCAGAGCGAGTAAACCGCTTAGCACCATTATATCACGCACCAGGCTCCGATGGCTGCGCCACGTGTTTTGCATGCCAACGCACCGACTTCTGCTTCGGGCGCTGTTTGCGCGATCGGGGTGTGGATGGAAGAAGAGGAGGTAAAGCCAAGCAGTGAATTGGTCCAAAGAAATGAAAACCCTCACTTCGAAGTTGGCGTCGGTTTGTGTCTGTCGGGCTGGCATCCGAAGGACGATAAACGCATTTGATTGAATACGCTTGTTGACATGACTAGGAGCCGACCTCAGTGGCGTGAGTTGTTTCTTTGCCGATCCTCCTCCCCTTTAGTTTACCTCCAACCACGATCTCATACCCAATGCGTAAAGCAATATTTAGCATTACATTCTATTCTACAATATTCTATGATACCTGATGACTTTTGTATTGTGACATATTAGCTAAGAAATGTTTCTAACCCTCAGCTGTCCTCTCTACTTCTCGTGATGATTCCCCTTGAATCAGTGTCTTTTCTCCTTGTATTGGTTTTTCTATATCTGGTTGTTCGGGAACTAATTCTTTTTTTCGACAACAATGAAAAACGATTTTCTTATATTGAATGAGTATTTTATTAACTTATATATTCTCCATTCTGATCTAACACCTTTTGCTATCTTTCTGGCAGTAGCATGATTCCACGCACATAAAATTGTTTTTCTTTGTTGGCAAAAAAATTGATGCAGGTGATTCTTGACCTCGTCATTTGAAGTAAAGTTTTTACCGTCTAATAAAGTTTGTAGAGACGGGAACCAATGGGAATCAGAAGTTGCCAGATCTGGAGAATTCGGTGGGTGTGGCAGTGTATTCCGTCCAACCTGTAAAAGCTTCTGGCGAATTACCAAACTTGTATGAGGTCTTGCGTTATCTTGGTGGAACACTCCACCTTTTTCATTGATCAATTCTGACATTTTCTGTTTAAGGGAATCATACAATTTGTCCAGCTGATGACAGTACACTTCAGAATCGATCGCTGTATTGTCCGGTAGAAGCTCCAAAAAGTGATTCCTTTGAAATCCTGCCAAAGATATAGCATCAACTTTTGGATGAATAGCGGCTTTCGAAGTGGTTTGATCCGGGTTTTTTCTTACTCCGTGCTCTCTTGCGTTTAACATCCTTGTTAACAACTCATTTCTTTTCCCCAGTGACAAGCTTCAATAATGAATCATTTATTGACGTTTGAGAAGTAAATCACAGACGTCAACGCGTCGGTACAAATTTCTTTCCGTAAGAACATGAGAAACCCATATGTCGAGCTTTGAGATGAAACCTAAGCGTTTCAAATGATCATGAACGGTCGAATTAGATAAATTTAATTTTTCAGCGATCTCATGAGCTATTGTTCACCGGTTTGCATCAAATAATGCAAATTAATAAATAAATTAAATAATTGGTGTCATTAATTACTTGTTTTACGCCGGCTCGACATTTTGGAAACCAGTTTTTGCATTGAAGTTCTGTCACCACATCTCCATACACATCTGATAATTTTTTCCTCCTTGAACAGCATTTTTACCTTTTCGATAGTAAAAAAAAGTAAAATTTGCTGAAAATGCTGCTTTTCATTTCCCATATTTGAAAAGGCAACAGCCAAAAACTGCTACATAAAATAAACCAAACTTTTACACAAGCAAGCCTTGCTATATCAGCTGTCAAAATATAAAGAATGAGGTTTAAGTGTGTAGTTGACAGTGGAACAATTACAATCAAATCTTATGTTAGGAAAAAAGAAAAACAATAACTTTTTTGGCGGTGTGATCCAAAACCCCTGAACCCTCCGCACTTTGTTACGTGGTTCGCAGTTCATTGGCTGAAGGCTATGGTCACAACAACCCACATCATTTGTTAGCGTTTCGTCATATTCATTTGATAAGCCACCACTTCCCAGTTCTTCCACATGGCACGCTTCTTACGTCGATTTTACCATCATGCACCAGTCATCGCGTTTTCCTTCGTTCTGTACTTTCAAGTTTCCTTTACCAATAAGTGGGGCTGACCGTCTAAGATAATGGCTTCCATGTGCATTACTAGCCTCAAATCGATGGACGCCTACAAGCACACGGAATACCGATCCTCGGTGTAACGATAAGGAGATCCAACTTGCACCTTGCTGTATCCCATCCTACGTACAACCATTAGCAGCTGCGCGACTACGGAACCTCAGCGCGAAATGCTAGTGTACTACTGAGACTTGGCCTGAAGAAGTTCTTGTGTCAAGAGCGAAACGTAGCCGTAGTACAAGCCTTTGGAAAACCGTTTTGTGTTTTAAAACCTTCCAAAATTATAAATTCCCAGTCGGCTTCAAGTTTGTGCCAAAGTGCTGCGCAATTTCTTAACATTCTCGATTCTGTTCCGACCTTCTGACAAGTATTCCTTCCGTACCTATCCTCAGGTCCATGGCACAGCACCTGATATCGCGGGATTGAACAAAGCCAATCCGACCGCCCTCTTACTCTCCGCCGTCATGATGCTTCGTCATATGAACCTGAACAACTACGCTGATCTGATCGAAAAAGCCGTCCTCACTACTATCCGCGAGGGCAAGGTGAGTCCCCTAGTGTGTTCCTCATACGTTTAACGATTCTAGCTGCCCATAATCGCTGTAGCTACTGCTTTGTTTTCTTCATTTGAACATTGTACTTCCCTGTCTGTTCGCCGAGTGGTTCAGGCGTCATGTTTTGGCTCCAAAGGTCGCCTATTAGAGCCTGCATATACAGGGTCGGCTTCGCAGTATCTTTAGTTCACTTGCAACTGTTAGTGCTCACGCCGCAGCGAAGCGGGATTGCGAGCTACCGTCGTACTGCCTATACTCTTTTTTCTTTCCACTCTGTTGCTCTCGTTATCAGTTGTCCCCCAGAGTATTGCTCGTATCATGTGATGAATATACGCGGAGTTGCCCAAGCAGCGAATTTGCAAGCGTTGATGGTATTCTGCACTCAGTTTCAGTCAGTGTGCCCCCCGAAATCATACGGTTACTACTCTATAAGACTGCTTCGCGCCACATAGTCAGCATTCCACTTTGATGCTCCTCAGCGGAACTTGTTAACGTGCCTCAATGAGAGTGCTTAAAAGCTCGACTGGATTCATGTTAGCATGATGTGTAAGTCTGAGGGGACCACCGGGTTTGCAAGTACAAACGGTAGATTAAGTCTTGCTTGCTCACCACAGTATCGTATAACCCCCTGACCAACAGAATCTAAGTAATGGATATCACTTCATCACGAACCGAATGATCAGTTACGTCCCGCATCGATTCTCTCTCCGTGCGATCAGTTCACCATAATTGACCCCCGTTTACACTCTGTTCGGGTCACTCTGCTTCGCTCTTTCGCTATTGATCCCAGTGTACCTCGTTCAAGCAAACTGAATCAAACCCTGAGCATATCGTTGGCTTTTACAATTATCGTCAATTATTTCACTCGTCGATAAGTTTTCACTGCCTGTCTCTTCCGGAATTCTCTTTCCTCAGTTGACGTGTATGGAGCCCATCAACTTTGCCAGTACTTGAGCTAACCTGATGGTTTTGTGGTCAGCACACGCAATGAGATAGCCCTTCGAAAATCTTCCCCACATTTGACTATTACAATCTAGTTCGTGCATATTTGCTCGGACAAGTAGGCTACGCCTTTGCAACAGGACCCCACCGCTATCCCTAAACATCTCGGGCGCAGGCGATTTTGCACCGGTAGTATGCAAATATCTTTGGGTTCTGCTTGCTCCTTGAATTCCAGCCTTAGATCGAACATCTGAAATAACCCGAATCATTTGAGCACGAAGCATGACCGGGGATAATGGTTGAAGTAAACTGCTCCCGAAAGATATCCGCGCAATCAGCCAGATGGTACTGCTTGTTGTGCATTTACGCCTCGATATTGTTACTGATTGTCTCACTGGTGTTGGGTTCCCTGTGGCAACGCGCTGCTCGCTCGGAAGGGTTCATTGATGTTACCCACCATCCTTGCCTCCTCCATTCATTTATCAAAATTCGCCAAGTTCCACCGTTTGATCCCAGACGTTGCTTTCGTCAGCATCTGATATCCCATCTAGTTTCATTGCGCCCTACACAGGCAAGGATCTTATTATGGGTTCCAGTAAGTCCATCCATCTTTAGTACGCTGTCGGTCGGTTGTATGCCACAGCAAAGGTTTTCACATCATACACGCAAGCCGAAATCCTGTTTCGCTGATTCTCCTCAAAGTTGTAAGTTGGAATTTAGTTTGCAAGGTGAGTGGAGACAGGTTCTCGGTTGCTGCGTCTCCTGAAAAACTTCAGGGAAGATCGGTAGTCCACCAGCCCTTGACCAAAATCGACGCACGTGTTCCATCACGAGCGGCTGTCGTAGCTGAAGCCATTGCACTTGAATCTTCTCGTTGTGGTCAATTAAGGTCCCCATTGTCTAACACTGGAAGGCACTGAGTAGCAGTGGCACCCGTGGTGCTACTCCCTGTTGCGCTAAACGCTCATCATGCTCATTACCTTCGGAATTAAGCCCGGCGAGTGAACCCATGGACTTTCGTAGCCCGAGATTTATATTAATAAAAGATGCTGTCAGATCTGTTGAAATCACTGGCAAAAATGCAAGGAGAATAATCGGGTTACTCGATAATAGATGCACTAAACTCGTCGTATAATTCTTTTGCTTGAGAGGTGAGACAGCTGGAGGAATTGTAGACGTCGGTTAGCAAAACCAAGCTCTATTCTCTGAAGCCTGTTGGTTAACATTTCAATATTGAGCACAAAAAGTGTTGTGAACAGAAGCAATACATGTTTTCCGTCCATGTACATGACAATGGGTTAATGTTTGCAATAGCATCCACCACCACCACCACGGCTCTGGTACGCACACGAGTGCTCGACACGAGGGGAAACAACTGCTTCAACCGTCACAGATATTTCGTGCGCGTTTCCATGGAGCTAGCGATCTCGCAGCATACGGAATATTAGCTTCAAGTATTTAATACAGCTGATTTTTGATCTCATACATTTGACTCAGGATTGAGTAAAGATTAGCCCTAAGACAGGTATACTCATGCTTCCCTCTTTTTTTGCAAGAGCGACTCTTCATCGGTCGCGATGTCTGTTAGCGGAGTTATTGGGCTTCTTCTAGCTATTTTTCAGGTTGCTTTATCCTTGCCTGTGGAAAACTGAATAGTTAGTTTGCATGAAAGCGCATAGCGATTCTAAAGTATCCGATAAAATAGTTTCCTTCATTGCTTGTTGCCAGTTCCCCCTTCTGTTATTCTCTTGTTTCTTCAAACTGGCTTGATTCCGCTCGTTCAGCTTATGTCGCTTGCTATGTCGCCATCGTAAGGGCCGTGGCTAATGTGTGAAGAAATTCACTTACAGGGTATCACACATTTGCTGGCCCATCTATAATTACTGACTTCTCATTTAACGGATCACATCTGCTATATCACAGCAACAGTGTGGTATCCTAGACACACTACCAATGTAACGCGATCTGTCTGTCGTTTGACACTGTGTCGTAACGCCCATACGGTCAAGTCGAAATTTCCACATCAGTAGTCGTGAACTATCACTTGTACTTCCTGAGACTACCGGATGCCCAGCGCCGTTGCTATTCAGCTTGTATGTTCATCGGTCACGCTGGTTACTGGAACCACTTAATTTGTGATTAATCGTCTAACCCTATCCTCATTTCTCCACACTGTTTCCATGTAGCATCTGACAGCCGATTTGGGCGGCTGTTCCACTTGCTCTGATTTCACCAAGGAAATTTGCCGCAACATTGAACGACAGGTCAGTCAGCGGTAGCCGCCTCTATTCCGACCTCTTCTTTCGACACAGCAGCATTGCTATGTACACATGCATTTGTGCATTACCGCATCCCCTCCAAAGGTCAGATTAGCACAACAGCTGAACCATGTCACGTTTCCTCATCTGCTCAACTTTGTTTCCGTCTTTCTTCTCACCCTTGTGCATTTCATGTATTCTTCGCTTCGTCCCCCCCCCTCTACCACCGTTCACATAATACACTTTCCTCACTCTTATTGGTTCTTTTGAAGTGGAATAAGTCTCTTCGTCTTTCCATTTAGCATGCATTTCCATCAATCGAGATGGCGGCTCCTGTGCCAAAGAGCTGCCGATACAAGTAGATAGACTAGGCCAGTGTTAGATTACATCACTACAACTGGAATTGTTACGGTTATCGCCCACGTAATGGTTTCCCTCTTTTACAGCGGGGAGTGATTCACCCTGTGAAGGAAGCCTGTCCATATTAGCCTTCGGAGCTGGTCCTTTCGCTAGCCGCCCGCTAAAGTTTAACGCTGATGCAATTTGAAGCTAATTGGCTAGCCAATGAGAGCGTTTAACACAAATGTTACACATGAGCATGATATACCTTGGTGTCAACCAATAATCGCACTATTTCAGCGACCAATACGTGCGTTTCCATGTATCTATTATTTGTCTGAAACAAGGAACTTCAGTTAAGTCATTCCCCCGGGAAGATTACTGAGTAACAGTACAACCAGTTGGTTAGTATACATGCAGTTTCAAATCTACAGATTACGCTTCGCGATACGGAGAACTTAGGTCGGAAAGCATAAACAAGTTGTCTTCTCACCTTGTGAAAGTCCTCCAAAATGTGCATGAACCAAGGGAGGTTTTGTGAAAAATAGACACCGAGATACCTGACAGTGGATGCAATAGAAACAGTTTTGTCTTACAAAGTTAATAGAGGAGAAGCATCGAAAATTACACGCAATTTAGCAGGACGGAGACATGGAAATGTTGCATCAGTACATTTTAAAGCATTAAGGTTAGGGGACTTGGTAAGGACCAACTCGCAAGTTCGTCTAAACTACATTTAAGCGTAGATGTCTCAGTGGTGGGAAATCTGTACCCAAAACAACATCGTCAGTATACTTACATCCAATGAATGTTGATGGTATGTGGAGACTTTCGACATATAAAGAGAATACAAGGGGTGAGAGGATCGCGCCCTGCAATTCACAACAGTCAGCGCGGAGCATATTGCAGATTTTGCCGTTTAACTGGGTAAAGTGCATACGATCAGTGAAATAGTCACGCAACAAGTAACCACTATCAGGGTGGACTCGGTTCAAATAAAGTATGTTATACAGAACTGATCCATCAAGACTCCCAAACGCATTTGCATAGTCAAGAAAAAGAGATCGTACGGGCCTGCACCTTTTAACTAGCGCAGAGGCTATTGAATGCATAAGGTAAGAGACAGCATCAAGCGTGGAGCGCTGGGGTCTAAAAGCAAACTGGCAGACCTCATCAGCACGACTGGCTGTGGAAATCCGTGGAACTAATAGCTTTCCGAGGACTTTTAAAAGCACGTAAATACAAACAATAGACCGATAGTTGTGAGGTTGCTTTTTAGGAATTGCCATTATTCTGACTGACCTTCAGATGTCGGGAATGGCACCGGTTAAAAATATCAGTCAGGAGTAATGTAAGGGAATCGGCGCACTGCTTCAAAACCACGGGTAACAAGCCATCAGGGTCACTGGCCTTATTTGAATTTATCTTCTTGAGCACTTTTTTGACCTCAACCTGATCAAATAAGGCGACAGGGTATGAGCTAGTGAAGGTGGGTGTTGGAAAAGTGCTCGACGGAAAGGAACTGAACTCTGAATTGAGTTTGTCAACATCCACGATTCCAGTAACTCGGATGGTACTTTTATTATGACTTTGCTCCAACAGCCTCCATAGATCCCGGCAGTTACGGTTTCCCAGTACCGTTTCAATGGATAAATTGTTTAGTCTGGCTACTTCAGGTTTATTTGCTAAAGTCAGGCTTCTGACTCGGATGGTCATTTTGAGCTTGAAAGCACGTGCTTTTTTCAAAGTTGTTTCAGCAGCGGTGAAGAAAACCCATCTGCTCGCGGGTAGATCATCTCGATAGGGCAGTATAAGTAGAAGCAAAAGTTTATGTACTTTGTGAGATGATCGCATTTGAAGCGATTCGATTAAAGTGTTTTTTAGAATCATGCGATATTTTCCACCGAGCAGTTGCGTCATCAAATAGTCCTGAGTTGTCGTTTCATCAATGCGACAGTTAGTTTTACTGTAGATGATAGGGTAAATCTTTTGTATACGATGCTCAGAGTTGCCTAGTGGTGAACGCTTTTGAGTGAAAAACAAACGAATTCTCTTTTTGTAATCAACATCAAGCTGTGCGTCTTGTTTGGTCAGGAAAGCCACTAAATCTGCCCAATCAAGTGACTTGAAGCACGTTGTATCACACTTATTAAAGTCACTGGCAACTATGCAGACAGCATTCTGTTTCGGCGGCAATACCAAAGAAAGTCGTTCAATTAAAAGCTTCATTTCGGACGAGGATGTATCAGGGGTAATGTAGAAGCTTCCAATAACGGCTTGAAAGCCCCTGAGCAATTTAGGCTTGCATTCAATTAAATGACAACTAATAGAACTTGTAGCATGAGTGAATAGTTGATTGACTTAGTTACACCAGAATTGATTAACCTACATTATGACGCTGCCACCACGATTCCTTGGCTTACCTGGGCGATCGGACCTAATCGCCCAGTATCCATCAATGGTAATGACTCCATCTTCAATATCAGAGCACAACCGGCTTTCTTGTAACGTTATACTACCTGTGTTTATACAATCCTTTCGTTGTATAAGAGCTATGAGGTCAGTGATTTTTCCTAACTGTGCGCGCATTGCTGGAGAGGATGATTGGGAATTTTGCATTTTCTGCAAAGGGCATCGTCGGAGACCAACTTTCCAACCAGCGCGATGATTCTTCATGTTGCCATTCTGTTTTCTCACACTCCGTTTAAAAGTATTCTTGGCTTTATGCCAGTAGTGGACAAAAGGCATTTTGCTTGCCGCACTTCGAAATGCTTTCAAAAAAACCGGCGGAGTAGCATAACATTGGTAACTAGGATATAGTTCAGTTAAACAAAAATGAAAAGTAAAACAACAAAAGTTATAGGTCCGCAATAGATAGTGTAGAATGAACAATATTCCAGTAGGAAACGGCAACGACCAATTTGAAATGGCCGATGTACTGCTGTTGGTGTTGGTGGTGTCCACTGGTTACCAAGAAAATACGCTGCCATAATCATTCGCATTAGCAACTTTCTCAGACGTGTCTTAGGAGATGCGAGTATACCCTTCAACAAGCTGGTTTTGCTGCATCAGTTAAGATGACTCGGTCACGTCCTGTGTATGTCAGCTGTTTGCCCCATTGCGCTCACTTTGTTCAGGACCAGCCGTCCACTTGGCGACAGCAGATAAAATGGTTAACTTTACGTCTTGCTGCCGTTGGATCCACCCCTCTTTCTGGTTGGGGATGAAAGGAGGAGTGCGAATAGTTGGAATCGATTCGGTATATGACGCGTAATCGAAATCAATGAAAGTATTGTGTACATAATTGTTCACATTCAGATACTGTTTAATATTTGACAAAAGCAACTAAACTGAACAACAAAGATGTTCCGTTCTTCTTGCGGCGCAGTAGCTTTAATGTGTTGCTCACCTTCAGCTGATAGGCCATGACACTGATGCGATGCTTAAGCCTATATTCTTCCAGTGATTTTTATGTCATTGTTTGGCTCCATGCAGTGGCATAGCAACTACTTTTGCCGCCCAGGGCGGACACACAATTGTACCCCCTCTGGCAGTTTGGAATCTGTAAGCCCTCACAATTTCGAACAGCCCTTACATATTTCCTTTTGTATAACAATAATTAAAGATCTAATTTTAGAATACTGCCGTGAATGCAAGCATTTGTATTGTTAAAATTATATGGTAACGTCAAAATTTATAGATGCACTTTTCGTACATTACTCGAGGCAATAAGATTGATAACACTGTCATACGTCAGTCCATTGGCAAGCTCTCTCTATGAGGAGAACTGCTAATTTGTGAGCCTTGTCTGGTTCATTGTTGAATGAAGGTAGTTCATTATAAACTTGCGTTTTGAGAATGCGCTCTCACAGTTGGCAGTATTAATAGTACGAGTAAGAAAGTTGTGCAGCAGTTTCGCTAAGGTAATATTTCTGTATGAAGCTCAATGATTCAGACGGTCCATTAATTTTGTCGTTTTTTGAAGCTTTCACAAAGTACTGCAATATTCTCCTTGTGGTAGGAATTCCTTGGTTCTATGTCTTCTCAGCTTTCCCAAGCGGACAACTATAGTTATCATCGAACAGATTTGACGATGTAAGGAAAGCATATTTGTTTGCGAGGCCATACATTTTGCTGAAATCCATGGCATTTCAGCCGTCAAGCTGTCTATGGTAGGGGAAACACTTCCCGTTTTAACTCAACTTCATATCCCATCTATATATCAAACAGTACTTCACCGTCCATTCGATTTTTTGACGAATTCTATGCTCCATACTTATTCCAAATTCAGAGTAACATTTTTGGCTTCATCAATTGCAATATCCACCATTTTCTCTCTATTCTGAAGAAGGCAAACTCTTCACTTTGTAAGCCTGACAAAACTTCGCTGCAGATCTAGCCTTTTTGTTTAGACATATCTGCGTATCCTTGATTTCTATGACTACGGATCTCCAAAGGCCCAGAAACAAAATAAACGGAAACAACAATACCGAGTTGAGAACTAGATATGCATCTGGTCTTGTGATTGTATCTTATTCTTATTCTGCGTAATTGTTGGGAGGAGCCTGGGATACTAGTCAGTTATCAATAACACATAAGAGCCGTGTCAAATATGGGACAGTATAGAAGTTTCTGGCGACTGAACCCAACGTATATTGTGCAGGCTACAAAAATAGGAAGTG